TGTTCATATTCAAGCGCCAAATCTTGACAAACTTGATCCTCGAGCTGTTAAATGTTTGTTTTTAGGGTACTCATCCACACAAAACGGATACAAGTGCTACAATCCTATCACCAAGAAAGTTGTTATATCACGTGATGTTAGATTTGATGAGGGAACACCTTATTTCAATAAATATCTAGAAAATAATGGTCAGGGGGAGCTTGTTCTTGATTTTCTTCCCTTGCCTACTTCTAACATCAAACTTGACTTTGCTGCTCCAGCTCCTTATCATGATGATCAAGAAGTCACAAACCCCGTTGTCATTCCTAAAGATATTCATTCTGAGCTTTCTAGTTCATTTCATCATTTGGACTCTTCACCATCGCCTTTAGTCCAAGTCAGACAAAATTCTACTCGTGACATACATCCACCACCAAAGCTACATGATTATGTTACTTATAGTGCACGGTATCCAGTAACCAATTTACTTACATATCATAGAGTTTCCTCTTCTCATGCTGTTTTTTTTAGCAGAATCTCCAATGTCCAAGAACCCTGGAATTTTCAAGAGGCAAATCTATCCAGTGAATGGTGAAATGCTATGGCAGAGGAAATGCAAGATTTAGATGCAAATAAAACATGGAGTGTTGTTCCATTACGTAAAGGAAAAAGGATTCTTGGGAGTCGATGGATATATAAGACTAAGTTTCACTTAGATGTCTTACTTGAAAGGCACAAAGCTCGGTTAGTAGCTCGTGGATTTACATAAACCTTTGGTGTTGACTATAAAGAGGCCTTTGCTCATGTGGCTAAAATGAATAATGTGAGGGTTGTACTGTCTATTGTCATTAACCATGCATGGCCTTTATACCAAATGGACGTTAAAAATGCCTTCTTGCATGGAGATCTTAAAGAGGAAGTTTACATGAAGCTACATCCAGGCACAATCTCCTCATGTGTGGTATGCCAAATTAAGCTCCGTTCTTAAAGCAGTTGGGTCCAAACGCCGCATTGGATCAGTAGGCAAGTTGGTTATCCTTATTTGTGGATGATCTTATTATTACTGGTGACAATGTTGATGAAATTGAGGCTCTCAAATATTCTCTTAGACAAAAATTTTCTATCAAATATCTCGATTTTCTGAAATATTTCCTTGGCATTGAAATTGCCACTTCTTCCAAAGGTTTATTCATCAACCAAAGGAAATATACTCTCGATTTGCTCCAAGAAGCTGACATGGAGGACTGCAAACCTATTAGAACACCTCTTGATAGCAAACTAACCATGGATATGGGCGATGATCTTCTTGACAATGTGAGCTACTATCAACGTTTAGTAGGTAAACTCATTTACCTCACTATAACCAGGTCAGATATCACATTTGCAGTCAGTCTAGTCAGTCAATTCATACATTCTCCAACTACTGCTCATCTTCAAGTGGTTAAGCATATTCTACGGCATCTCAAGGGCTCTATCGATTGAGGCACTTTTATGAAAAACAACTCTAACACACATATTCTTGGCTACACATTTGCTGACTGAACTGGGAACTCTCTTGATCACAAATCTACAACTGATTTTTGTACCTTCGTTGGAGGCAACTTGGTTACATGGAAAAGTAAGAAACAAACTTCGATTGCTCGTTCCAGTGTAGAGGCTGAATACAGGGCTATGACTTCCACTGTATGTGAACTTATTTGGCTCAAGTGTCTTCTCTCGAATTTAGGATTTCCTAGTTCTCAACCAATGACTCTTGTGTGTGACAATTAGGCTGCTATGCACATTGCTTTTAACCTAATTTTTCATGAACAGAACAAACACATCGAGGTTGACTGCCTCTACATTCGTGATCAAGTTCAGTCCAAGGTTATTCAAACTCACTACACCCGCAACCAAGATCAACTGGCAGATATTTTTACCAAAGCTTTGCCATTCACTCATTTTCAACTACTGCTTTTCAAGCTTTGCTCGATTAATCCCTTTGATCAAGCTTGAAAGAGAGTATTGGAAGTCACTCACTTCTGCAGTCATGTTTATTGCAGGCCTACCTTTCGAGGAGCCTGCTGCCTACCTTAATTCTAGGAGTGTGCTTTACTTTCCCAAGCTGCAACTAGACTCCTTCTTCGAAGAGATTGAGTGGTTTGTACTCAATTTCTATAGGCTTTTTCTTTTTCTTCCATATATTCTCTGTATATTTCCTCACAGACATATAATACATAAGATACAAACTTCTATATCCTATGATCATGTTCTTTGCTTTGTTGTTCTCTGCTTCCCCTAACAGTTCTTAAAGATTTATATTATTTTCATCCCTAGCTAGGTAAGAATTTCAAGTGAATTTTGTATTTTCCTTTTCTAGTTTGAATTTATTTGGTTGTTTGTTCTTTTGTGTATGCATCTCATTCTAATCGACGTGAGATTTTTAAAAAATTTGAAATTATTTATAGACGAGTCAAAATTTTCTGTTAATTTTTTGTTTTGACTTGTAGTTTTTTGTTGGTTTTCGTTCATTGATGCACCTTGAGTCCTTGACTTGAATGTTCTGTTGTTGCATTAATTTTTCTTGATAACTCCCCTATCTCTTCGATTGCATCTTTTTTCCAGTTTTTCGGCCATCGCTGTACACTCCGCGCTCTATCAAACATTGAGAAATTTCTCTAGATATGTGTATTTTGTGTTTTAATCCTGTAATCATGATTTCTTTATTCGATTTCCTTCATTTTTATCTTCGACATGGGTAAAGAATTGTATGTTTCTTTTTCTGAATTAATTTTTCTTGCCTTTATCATTTTTTTAGGTGCGATTCTGTTCTATGTGTTGATTTCATTTGGGTTTTCTACTGAGTTTATACACATTTTGAAAACTTTTGGTTATTTTTCACTTTCAAGTTCTTGTTCTCTTTTTCAAGACTTCTCTACCATCTTTCTTTATTCTATTCTCTTCGAAATGGTGTTTTTTGATATAGGATTCTAGGTCTATCAATAGTTATCCTAAGTGGTAACCCTAAACCTAATAACCACTCCATACGACGACCTCTAATGCGAAAAAGTGATAGCCTAAATAGCAATATTAAAAAGAAAGAACATGATTCTGAGAAAACTAATCTGCGATTCATAAATTAATGAGAGATGCAAACTTTACAGCTTTAAGACTACTACTATTTACCCTAAAACTTTCAGAAACTACAGCAACCAAAAAATGGTACCTAGCAACAGAACAATCAAAGGACAAAACCAGCAAAATGCACAAAACACAAAAGTAACTCCATCAGTAGGTCTTATACACTGCCGGAACAAACTACCTTCGAGGACCCGTGGGAAACGCTCCACACAGCATTACTATCACTGTGTTGGGCCTTACACACATTGTCGCCTCCCCTACACCACGTGCCGACCAGGTAGCTTTGCCTCGTCTTCTAGAGTAAAAAACAATGGTGTTCGTTCGTCCACTATGTGTTTGGTTTCGCCGAAAATGGATTTGGAGGTTCAAGTGTGTTAATTTCAATAGTTTTTCACAAACTTTTCTACTATTTTTGCACCCCCTATGCTATAATACCAATTTGTGATGGAAATACTCACCAAGATCTTCAATCGATGTACAAATAATAGGCTCAATTCCTCAAATCAATATCAACACAAACAATCAATTGCTCAACCACAAATGATATAATAGCGTTGCACAAATATATGTATAACTTACAAAGGATATTATCTCACAAAGCGAATGAGATGGTATGCATCCAGCCGCTTCACTAATGTGAATAGGAAGTGAGAATGTCGACTTTGAGTAACGTTTCTCCTTTTTATTATTATTATTATTCTAACTCCTAAACGGTTTAATTTTTTCATTCCTTTCTTTCATCTTCCCTAAACGCACTTTATTCTTTTTTTTCCTTTTTCTAAAAAGTCTTTTATTTGAATATAGATTATTAATTTTTTTATTTTTTAAAAAACTTTTCATTTGACTTTAATTTCAAAATTTTAAAGGTTTTATCTGTATAAAAGTTAAAAATGATTTGATCTAAATAGTTAAATAAGATTTAAACTATAGTACTATCTACATTATGTAATTATGATCTTGAGATTCATTATTTTGTTGCAAACTCAAAAAGTATGTATGAAATTCTTATAAATCTATTAAATATGACTTGTCTAGTTGAAAATTGAAATTATGAAAAATATTATAATTTTTGTATTTCGAAAACTTGAAAATTGTATAATTGACTAATAGTATGAATTATTAAGTAAATATGGTATTTTATACATTTAGATATTTGAAATGTATTATTTTAATTGTTAAATGATTTTTAAAATGATTAAAATTTTAAACTAATATTAAAAATAAGAAAACTTTTTTTTATGCCCAAGTGTCGTAAATCTTGAAGTTTCGTCTCCACACATAGTCATGCTTTATGTTTTTTAGAATACTGATGTGTGTGTGCTGCAGCCAATAAAATGGGCCAAACTAGGAAATGGGTTAATCTGTATAAATGGGCCATCCATTTAGTAAATGGGCTGTAACCAACTATTAATTAAAGTGAAAATTACACTCACACCAGTTTTTCAACTTTTTAATTCAAAGAATAGGTATAAACAATTTTCTTTCAAAAATCAAGTGCACCCCATCCCATCCGACCTCCCCTCTTTCAAAAAAGGGGAAATTAGGCCCAGTGCCCTATTAAATTAACTAAATTGAAAAGTACTCTTTTAAAACTAATTAAACAATTCAACCAGTAAATAACACGTCCTAAACATAAATCCCAATCTTCATTCAGCATAAACACTCTCCTCAACAAGGGTTTTAGTTTTCATCTTCTCAAGCACTTACACTCAGTCGCTCCCTTCCCAAAAGTAGCAGTCGAAAATGGTAAAGAGATGTTCCTAAGTTGGATACAATTCTCACTTCGATTCCCATTGAAGAAATTTTGAGGAAACAGAGATTACTCGCCAACCCTTCGATGAAACAAGCAATGTTATTCCCACAACTTGCTCAATCAAGGGACGCCTTCCATCAAATTCTGAATGCCATTTAGTTCCAATGCTCGTAACAAAATCAGAGAAACCCGATTAGATTTCGCCAATTCAGTAAGTTTACTTGGTTTGGGGACAATTTTCATGAAAGCCCACTTACTTGTAGTGGAGTTATTACGTGTTTTCGTCACAATCTTGTAAAAACCCGAACTTTCCTTTAGTTTTGAACCCTAAAGTTTGTGGGCAGTCTCTGGAAAGAGATGATGTTGAATATGGATATGTTGGGATTAGAGAAAAGGGTCTTAAAGAATGTGGAATTTCGACTTCAGATGGACTTCTTTATAAGAGTGGAGAAAAATGTAACCTTGATATATCGGACGAGTCTGTGGAGTTCAAAAAAGGGATGCAGAGTGAGAAAGATAGTGAAATTGAATTAAGGGTTTTGGATTCATATAATAGGAATAGAAAGCAAAGTGAAGTTTGTAGAAGTATTGAGGGGGATGAAGATGAATCAAGACACCCACTAGTGAAAGAAGTTTGTAGGTTAATTGATTTTCGGGCAGCATGGACTCCAAAGCTTGAAGGAGAGTTGAGGCACTTGTTGAGAAGTTTGAAGCCTAGGTAAGTTTGTACTGTACTGAGGGCTCAGTCTGATGAAAGGGTTACTTTGAAGTTCTTTTATTGGGCAGATAGTCAATGGCGGTACGACATGATCCAATTGTGTATTATGCAATGCTTCAAGTTCTTAGTAAGACTAAGTTGTGTCAGGGGGCTAAACGGGTGCTCCAGCTTATGGTAAAGAGGAAGATTGAGTGTAGGCCTGAAGATTTTGGTTGTGCGATAGTTTCTTTCAGTAGGGCTGGGGATATTAGAAAAGCTATGCAGATATTAACTCTAATGCAAAAGGCGGGAGTAGAACTTGATCTGTCCATATGCAATACTGCAATTTATGCTCTGGTGAAAGGCCATAAGTTGGAGAAGGCATTGAAATTCTTGGAAAGAATGCAAGTTTTTGTTAGTTACTTGGAGTTGTAGCTTAAAAACTTTACTCAGCGAATGTAAATTTGTTACTTCTATTACATTTTTTAATTTCTGCAATTTCCAATTTATATGTTAATGTTGTGTTCTTAAAATGAAGTTATGTTCTACATTTAGTTAATATAAGTGAAACATAATTACAAAGAGACAACATATAAAAGCAAGTTAACCATCCTTGGATCTATTTTTTGGTTTTTGATTAGTGTTTCTTACTTTTTTGAGTGTTTGTGACTTTTTGGAATGTTTGTGACTTTTTTGAATTTATGTAACTTTTTTTTTTGTTATTTTTTTCAATCGCCTTCTTGAAATTTCAATTTTTT